TGAAGATACCTTACCTTAAATGTAATATATATTTTATCTTGCCAGTGTGCTATTGGGCACTGAAGCATGCTGTCTGTCACGCTTTCCCATCTCAAATATATTTAAACATTGGTCTGTGTAACTATAAGGTTAAATCCCTTGCTACACAACATTTCCATTTTGGGATGTGTCATGAGATTTTACCTCGTTTTATGGTGTTGAACACTGTGATGGCTAATTTTATGTATCGACTTGATGGGGACCCCCATCACAATGCACACTGTGATGAGGTGCCCAGATATTTGGTCAAGCATTATCCTGGATATTTTTGAGCATGTTTTTGGATGAGATTAACATTTACATCAGTTAACTGAGTGAAGCAGACCGTCCTCCCCAGTGTGGGTGGGCCTCATCCAACCACTTGAAGGTCTGAGTAGAACAAAAAGGCTGAAGCTCCCCCAGGTAAGAGGGAACTCGTTGTGCCTGAGTCATGCTGAGATGTGGGATTTTTCCTTCCTTCACGCCCAAAACGTTGGTTCTTCCTGGGGCTCCAGCCTGTAGAATTTGGGGCTTGTCAGTCTCTCAATCCCATGGTCACATTCCTTAGAGTAGAGCTTATGGATTGTATTTCTCATATCATATCATATCACGTCAATGTTATTGTGTTATAATGCTATATCATATTTTATTATAATATTATCCAGATATCTAAATCAGTATGTTTCTTGGGGCGCCTGGGTGGCGCAGTCGGTTAAGCGTCCGACTTCAGCCAGGTCACGATCTCGCAGTCCGGGAGTTCGAGCCCCGCGTCGGGCTCTGGGCTGATGGCTCAGAGCCTGGAGCCTGTTTCCGATTCTGTGTCTCCTTCTCTCTCTGCCCCTCCCCCGTTCATGCTCTGTCTCTCTCTGTCCCAAAAATAAATAAAAACGTTCAAAAAAAAAAAACTAAAAAAAAAAAATCAGTATGTTTCTCTGGAGAACCCTAATACAGCTACTTTTGATGTTCCTGCCCCCTTAGCGATTTTAAAGAGTATTATACAAAGACCCCCCCACTCCCGAGACACCCCTTTGAACATTTACTTCTGCCCAGAAAATAGTTGTAGGTGAAATTCAGTTCATACTTTCGATTCCTTGTTTGGGGCATTGTATCCAGAAAGAGATTTTTTATCTGCCTTCTTTTTAGTGGATCCCACCTCCTCTGAATCTATTTATCCTTTTGTACCTGGTTCGATTGTTACTCATACACACACGACCTATTCTACACAGAACCTGAAGGAAAAACGTCTGTGTTTTCATTATCAGTAGCGTGAATACTCACGGAGAGCGCACAGTAGGTGCCCTGCGAGTATCTGCTGGGTGGATGCCTGGAGCAAACTCCGACGTTCCAGGAAGGTGACTTTGCTTACTCAAGTCCGGAGAAATCAGAAAGTGACTTATTTTTGGAGAGCTGTCTCTAGAGGTCTGACTACATTTTCAAGTGGATTTGCTTAAGTCACTTTGAACAAGTTCGCCCTCGACAGAACTGCAGTTTCTTTGCCACCACATCTTACGAAACTTGAGAGCCAAAAATACAGCTCCCAAGGGGGTTATACACCAGCTATCAAATGTAGGCACCAGGAGGAACTTTCAATAAGTCTTTTCTGGTGTGACTTCTCCATTGTGTGTAATAGAGCTAAAATAGATCAGTTTTACTTATCGTGAAGAATTTCTTTCGTTTCCGTCGTTATGTTGTTTTCCCCCCAGAAAATAGCTGCTCTGACACTCGGAGTGCATCGGTTCCTCAGACCTGTGCCGTCTGTATCAGCACCTCCCCGTGGAGGCTGCCTTCCTCCCTCCCTGGGGCTTCCAGACCGAAGCCCCCGGGGGCTGCACAGCCCAGGGATTTTCAGAACAACCAGCCTGGCAGCCGGAACTGTGTGGACACCTCCAGGACGGAACACGCTGTGATAGGAGACCCTCGTGACAATTTCCTTCCCACGTGGCTCTAGGGAGATTCTCCCAAAGGGTCCTGAGGTCTTGGAGAAAAGTCATCTAACATGGGACATTTTGCTGCTGTTTCTTCTTGTTCCCACGTGTTCCCTTCACGAGGTCACTTCTAATTCTGAGTTTTAGTTTTCTTAGCCCCCAGTACTTTGCTAGCTTCAAGAAAGTTTCTACCGATAATCCCTTTGCTTATCAACCTCAGGGTTTACGCCTGAGTCTTGCTGCAGACCCAAGAGCCACAAAGTTGTGGGAAGGTAACGAGGTTGTCACGGGCAGACGGGCAGAGGAAACAGGACATTTTTGGAGGCGGGAGGGTAGGGAAAGGTTGTCCCAGAGTTTCTGTATTCTCTGGGCAGATGTGGTGCAGGCACAGGACGTGGTCAACAATTCCGGTTTCCCCGCGAAGGGCTCGGGCCAGGGCTGGGGACGCAGGGGAAGATCAGGGCGAGGTTGGAGACAAAACAGATGATGACGCGTTGAGGCACCATCGTCCAGTCACATTGCATGCAGTTGGCTCTGTGTACTTGCACGCACACCACATGCACATGCTCTCACACGTGCCTGCACACGTGTGCACACACACATGTGCACACACACATACAGGACCACTCTCGCAAGTCTCACACATGCCTGCACACACACAGTCACACACCCCCCTGCACATTCACACATACATACACACATACATACACGCACACTCACATGTGCATATCACACTCACATGGAGGACCACACTCACAGTCTCACACATATGTGAGTCACAGATGTGCAAACACAATTCACACAAATGCCTACACACTCACATATGCACACTCACATGAACACACCCACTCAGTCTCACACACGCTTGCACACACCATCACATGTGCACACACTCATATACACCCATTCACACATAGCCTCACACTTAACCTGCGCACACACCTTCACACACATGCCTACACACATGCACACTCACACATACACACACTCACATGCACATACACACGCACATGCACACCCTAATGTGAGTGACTACTTAGTCTCACACACGCCTGCACACACCATCACATGTGCACACACTCGTGCATACACACATGTGCAACACTCTCACACACTTACACATGTGCACATGCATGCACACATATTCACATTCTCTCCTGATGTGAGTTGTAGACACAGCAATAAACAATAAGGACACAATTCTTGCTCATTGTTAGTGTATTCAGCACAGGAAGGGACAGGGAAAAGTAAGGACACGTTTCACAACCATTAGAGGCTGTGGGAAGAACTTGTCACTCAGGCTTTGAGGACTGGGGGGAAGTTTCCAGAAGGAAAATCTCAAGAACTTGAAATTCAACCTTGAGTTGGCTGTCGAGGGCAGAGGCGTCCAGTGAACCAGCAACAGAAGTTCGGCAGGGGGCGCCTGAGTGGCTCAGTTGGTTGGGCATCTGACTTCGGCTCAGGTCATGATCTCACGGTTTCGGGTTTGAGGCCCGCATCAGACTCTGTTCTGACAGCTCAGAGCCTGGAGCCTGTTTCAGATTCTGTGTCTCCCTCTCTCTGCCCCTCCCCTGTTCACGCTCTGTCTCTGTCCCAAAAATAAATAAACATTAAAAAAATTAAAAAAAAAAAGAAGTTCAGCAGGTGGAGAGCCTATGGGTCGGGACAAGGGAAGGTTGGCAGGGGGAGAGCCTCAGGTGACAAAGGAAAGGGAAAGTGAATGTCATCACAAAGTACCGGGATAATATGTCTTTTTTCCTTCAGCTTTGGCTTCACACACAGGTGTTGTGTATGTTAACACAGTCTGACGATATGGACAACACAACACAAAGAACAAAGCTTCTGACTTTCTGTCTTCTCTTCCTCTTCCTCATAACTGACGTGGGGACACCAGGTCACGTTCACTACACTGCGTTTGCACACCCAGCATAGCCCATGAAGTCTGGGGTGTACCAATAGTTTCTGTAAAATGCCAAATACTAATATTGTGGGCTTTATGGGCCATATATGAAGTATCTGTCACATTATCCTTTTCGATTGAATTAAAAATGTTTACCACCTTTGAAAGAGTAAGGAGGTGCGTCCAGGAAACTATAAAGTGCCCGTGATGGTCCTGCCTCCCGTGTTGATGTCCTTGGAGGAACCCCATGCCCCATCGTGGGTAGGACTTGTGGCTTGCTTCCAACCTGGAGGATATGGCAGAGGTGACAAGCCATCGATCTCTCCAATGACTACTCCATCTTACAGGACATCTCCGCAGGGTCTCTCGCTCTTGCGTTGGCCATGAAGAAATACCCACGATATGACCTGCCTGTGGATGTCTCGGTGGGGAACTGCAGGCAGCCCCGTGTTCAGGACGCAGACGGCCAGAGACCTGGGGCCCGTGGTTCCCAGCAGCAAGACTGGATTCCACCTACACCTGCGTCACTTGGAGATGGTCCCCCCGGTGAGCCCGCGGATGAGGACGCAGCCCGGCCGACCCCCTGGGAGAAGCCTGTGAGATCCCGAGCGCCTAATCCCGGACTCCAGCAGAAACTGTGACCATAAATGTGGGTTTCTGTGTGTGGGGTCAGTGGTGAGGCGTCAGAAAGCGATGAGGATGAATCATTCTCAACTTGAAGGCCATGCAGACACGGCCACGGCTGGAACTGGCCGGGAGCTGTTGTTTGCAGACAACACGGTGCCGAGTCAGGACCTGACACCAAGTATCCTAAATATCATACAATGTACATTCGCTAGTGTACATAAAGCACAGTGTGAACGGTTACTATAAAATCATACAAGCGTCTCAAGTAAGCTTACGATAAACAACAAGAGACAGAGATATAAAGGGAACTAAAAAACATGGAAAGTTTGGAAGAAAACCTTTAGAACATGTCATAAAGACGGAGATGGAGAAGGCCTCCTCCGGAGAGGAGTTTCCGGGCCAGGTACAAAACGCGTCCCGCTTTAGGAAGCCGGCGCCCGAAGTTGCTGTTTCCTTAACGTGACCGCGTGCACGTCCTCTGCCATGGTCCTCTGTCTAAACCGACAAAAGACAAATATGGTAGCAAGTCCTTTAAAGTAGATACATTATTTAATTAATCTGAAAAGGAGAAAATCTGTTCGAAAATCTTCGCAGCGACAAGCGTTGCAAGTTTTGCAGCGGCTCTGATTCCCACACTGAAACACTGGCGGTGTGTTACCCTCATTGTTGGCTTTCGTGCCACACACATCCTGAGACCCCACATAGACAGTGCACATCGGTGGGTTTCAGTGCTTGCCGAAGAGTCTTCTCTGCTGGCGATTAAAGTCAGTTGTGTAAGAGAAACCGGACGAAAGGCATGCGTTGTGGGGCGTTGCTAGGGCTCCCGCAGGGCACCGTGCCTGTGCATGGACAAGGTGCCGGGGCTGTGTGGCCCCAGGGAACATCCCATGGAAGCCACAGAACTTTGCATGGAAGCTTTGGGGACCCGGAGCACGGGAGGGCAGTGCCGGAGGGGCCGAGGCAGGGCTGCAGAATCCAAAGGGACGGCGGGATGTTGGGATCTGCAGGAGATGTGCAGAGTGGGGGCCGTGGCTGTGTCTCCATGTTGTGAATGGCCGGGGACCAGGCGCCGTCCTTCCTCATCAGAGGGATCATGGACCCCTCGGTCCCTGAGAAGTCCCCACATGGGTCACTCGGTGGAGCCCTTGTGGGGAGGGAGTGACCTGGGTCACTGGGCGGCTGACACTGTGTCTGTAGGGGTGCATCTGACTCACATGTGGCTGTGGGTATTCTGGTCCTGGCTTCTCAGGGGACCTCTGAACACACGAGCAACTTTCATTTCCTTTTCTTCCTTTCTCTTAAGGAAAGCAGCACTTCACCGCGTAGACCTTGTCTGTCTTATCCTCGGTCGGCACTGCCTGCTCTCTGTCCCCAAGGGCCTGTGGGCCGTGAGGCAGGGCACAGGGGTGTCATCGTCCAATGAGCGCTGGCTGGCACATGCCAGGTCATAATGATGGGTCTGTGATGCTGCAGGAGCGTGCAGGCGGGTACAAGAAATCTTTGTCTGGGTGATGGTGTTGAAGACACAGCCTTACCAAGTGGCAAACTTGAGATGAAGGGAAGTCTGGGCGCTCCTGGGCCTTTGGGGGACAGGTGACATAAGCGGTGAGTCCGCACGTGGTCGGCCCACGCAAATCTCCACCTGCAGGCACGTTTTCATCTACTGAGATGCAAACCAAGGTGCTTTGGTCAGTCTCTCTGCCAGTAGCTTAATGAAGACACGGCGTCATCCTTGAAAATGACCTAAAGGACATCAACGTGTGCAGGACAGGAAACTAGTTTTCTCCTGCTTCTTTATAATGTAGTAGGAACGGAAACACATTCTCGGGTCTGCAAGTAGAATTGGAGGGAATGAGGCAGCCAGTCCGTGATTGAGCCAGTCCTCATTCATGGCTGCTTGATGTTTCCAACGGTTTCTGGTGACCGAGACTCGGGATCACAGTCTGAGAAGACAATCACAGGAGGTCTGGAGACAGCCCCCAAGCCAGCAGCAGCGTCAGAGGGGCGGTCCTAGCGCCGGCCCCCCAGCGTCCCAGGCGATGCTTATGGTCTTCCCTGGGGCGACCAGTCCCCTGGGAGCCAGGACGTACCCCACAGTCTGCTGAAGAACTTTCAGACTTCGGTTGTTAAAGCACCTGCTAGAGGCCACGGTTACTCCGGTGTTTCAAGAGTAACCCCTTCTAAGGATCAGAAATCCAAAACAGGTTTTCTGAGTGCACAGACTCCGTTCGTTGCACTGAAAGATTCTGACACATTGTGAAAGCCACCTTTCCTCCTAAAGTATAAAAATCATGGTGTGTTTCCTGCAACCCTTCACACCAAGACGCTACGTGGGGGGAAATTACCGGAGTTAAATCAGGCTCTCTGGACCACGGACCTCCTCCTCCCACAGGTTAGATTAATACGCATGGGTGTGCAGACGTACATCCACTCCGAAATTGTAGGTGACGCCAGATACTAGCTTTGTGGGTCCATTCGTTTTTACTGAACGAGATTTGAGGATCTTGATTAAGATTCACTTAAATCAACTGACTAGAAGCAGAAGACACCGGCATGCTTACGACTTAAGAGCTTATCAGGCAAATCTTTTAACGGAAGCAATCTACTAAGCAGAACCCACACACAGATGGATGCTTACACACTCGAGAACACCGGACATTTTCACGTGGTAGGCACTGACCATCCTCCAAGAAATGGCTCTAAAGAAACATTTGGAACATCAGAGACAAAGGGATGATGCAGTTGTGTTTGCTTTCTCAAAGAAAATAGCGCTGGACTCGCTCGCCCTGGCCGTAGAGGCTACAGAAGAAATACATCTTCAGACATAACACAACTGAAACACATCAAGACTTACTAAACATGATCTAAAAAGATTATTTGAGCCAAATATTTATAAATTTGCCACTTCCAAGCATTTATACCTCTGGGTCCTGATGAAACTTATGGAGGACCATTGCCTGGCTCCTGGTCCAACTGTTTTGTCTCCGTTTTTACAGGCAGCTAGCTCTCAAAGCTCTGAATGTTGTCCCAAAGTACAAAGTTACTAAAATACATACAAGGTTATTGAATCAAATAATCACTGAATCTCTTTTACAAGAAGCCCTAAAAGTTGTAGGATTTCTTCCCTAACTTCTCTTCCAGCTGTTGGTTCAGCCAGGAATGTGAGCCTCCAGGTGTGTGGGACCCAACAGCCTCCTGCTCCTGGCGGAGATGGTTTTCCTTGCCCCATGACGCCACTTGTAACCGCCATCTGTAAGCCCATCCCGCCTTGGGGAGCGGCCAGTCATCGACGAAAACCTAGTTCATCTGATCGCTTCACGCTATTTCGAGACACACAGCATTTCCACCTCCCATGATAAAGTATTCATAACAAGGATGTGAAATATCAAAGATGCCATAATTTCTGGCTGATGCCTGAGATGGCTGCCCAATGCTCTGTGCTGAGTGCTCTTCAGAGTGTTTTTATCTGTGTCTCTATTTAGCTATTTTGCTGAAAGCTTCACTGATCAGTGTTGGGTGCCAGGATCTCCCGACTTTTCCATTTCCACATGTGAGTCGATGGAGGGGACCTGGTACTATCCATTTCTGGCCACAGTGTCACTTATTGTATTGATCCCAATTAAAATCCCATAAATCCTTTAGCTGAAATATGATCTAACCCACTCTTCCTCACTCTGTACGTGTGTGTTTCTAATGCAAATGTAGGTTTGACATTTCTGTTATTTCATTTCATCCGTTTTGCCCCCTTGATCTCATCTCTGTGGTGGTCATGAGCCAGGACTATCACTTGACATAGACTAGGCTTCCTGGCTTTGTGTTTCCCGAAAATTGGATAAACGTACTGTTCGTGTCCTAACATAAAACTGTTCACAAAAGTGAGTGAACAGGATTAGCAAGGCTCTCCAAGGAAAACCCTAATTCTGCACCGGGGTTTCCGGGGACAGCTGTCCGGGCTGCACCGGGGTCTCTGGGGACAGTCGTCCAAGCTGCATGAGGATCTCCGGGGACAGCTGTGCAAGCACATGAAAATCGGCCAAACTACATTACCATTTGGCCCAGATGGAAAAAAAGTAGACCTGTCAGGAAGGAGATGTATCAAAAAGGTACATCAATTCTTGGAGGTCTGTGATTTGGAGCGCTTTAACTACACCCATCTCTGGCTGTGAAAAACCAGGCGGGTTATACAGGGAAACACATGGCCCAGCAACACACAAGTGCATGTGTCACAACAGTAAACCCGGTGAGGTTTATGCTAACTCGGTCCAAGTCAAGAGTCTTCAAATAATATGAAAATGTCACGTGGAAGCACAGGAATTGAGACCAGCTGCATGTGGAACATCTGGGAGAACTACCTGGGGACCAGCTGAATGTCACACAGAGTGACCAATGACCCTGGAGGCAAACAGGAGGACTGGGGTGTCCCTAGGAAAATGTGCCAGGCACAGGTGCACTGAAAAAACCTGTTCTTGTATCTTATATGCAGAAAGCTTGTAGGGTTCCCTATTTTTACCTTCATTTAGTTGAATGCTTCATTCCACAAAGAAACTGAGTCCTGAGGCACTTCATTTCCAGAACCCAGGATCCACATCGTTCTCTGAGGCGCTTTCACTGAGTCCGAAGGTTGGAGTCCCTACTGCCAGCGTCTGGGACCAGTTACCAGGGGAAGTGATGTCCACAGGTGATCTGTTGGAAAAGTGAGACACGGTAACTCTTGAACGCGGGGTTTATGTTAGGATGAGACTTCCCTCAACAACTATAATAACTATATAACTCAATGACTATATAATAATTATAATTATAATAACTACAAATACTCATTTACCGGAGTGTGATAAATATTGTAAACGTTACAGAAAATAAAAGAAAATAAAGGATGCGTTAAAGCTTGGGGTTTGAGCCTGGGGTTGGGAGAGGTCTCGAAGTGAAGCCAGGACCAGACCCACAGAGAGGAGGGGGAGGGCCGGTGGCACCCGGGAGCCAGAGCCAGTGCCCTGCTCCTCTGGGGCCGAGGGACCGAGGGACCGAGGGGAAAGCATGTGCAGTCAGACAACTTAGAATCTAGACGTTATTTTTCTTGACAGAAGGGAGGAACAGCTAAAGATTTGGGCTCTGTGCCTTGGATAGGAAGAGGACTGGAATCCCCTGGGTGGGGGATGGTGAGGCCACAGGGAGGACACCTCGGTTTGTGGCCAAGCCACACCCACACGGATGTTAAAGATCACAGATATACCTGAACGTGACCAATAACCTAACCTGCAGGACGTATTTCTGAGAGGCCCAGGCGTTTTCCACTTCTGAAAGTTGGGGGAAGTGCCGAGTGCATCCTCATCAAAACCCAGCCATCCTGGATTCGCAGAGGCACGTGTTCTAGGTGGCATGCGCGGGTGGCTCAGGCGAGTCTCCCTGCAGGAGGTGGCCCTTCTGCCCCGGCAGACCCGGGGCCCGGCCGTCCGCTCCGAGCTGGGAGGCTGCGCCCAGGGAAACGTGCAGTGAGGGCGGCGACTGGAGCCAGGCTCCGGTGGGCCCTGCCCTCGGCTCCCGGAGGCCTCTCTGCCCCGGCCGGGCCGGCCCTGGCCCCAGGCGCGCGGAGCTGGACCCGGTCCCTCCCGGGGCGGTTGCCGGCTCGTCTCCGCAATGACGGCGGGTCCCTGCTCCTCCGCCTGCCTCCAGGGGGGGCCCCCGCATCCTCCCCAGAGGCCGGGCGGCCTCACGCCACCACCCCCCTTAAGTCCTCCGCGGCCCCGACCCGGACGCAGCTTCCGTGAGGCCAGGCCTCTCCCGGCCCCTCTGCCGCGGGCGTGTGACGGGCACGCACTGACCGTTCTTGGGGACGTTCCGTGAAACGACCTCCTGCTCTTTCTGAAAGCCCACATGGGTCCCATCCGAGGCCTCCTTCCGTCAAATCTCAACACACGGCGGGCCCTTGTGACGTGCCGAGCGTCTCCCGTTTTCTCGTGTCCTAACACCTGTGCCCCAGGCGTCGGGTCTGCAAGAGCTAATTAAGATCGTGGCGTCAGGAGGTGGGCCCTGCGTGACCTCGCATTTGCTCCATTCGGGGTAATTTGCAAAAGGAACGCTTCTCTGCCACGTGACTGTGGGGTCGGGACCGCTCTCACTGCGGGCTGCGGATGTGCTCAGCCGAGACCGACGAGGAGGGGGAGGAGGAGGGGCAGGGGGAGGAGAAGGGGGAGGGGGAGGAAGGGGAGGAGGAGGAGGGGCAGGGGGAGGGGGAGGGGGAGGGGGAGGCGGGCCGAGGGAGGATGTGCTCAGCGGAAGCGGAAGCAGCTCCTGGAGGCCCCGCCCTGCCGCGTGCCCGCCCAGGCCTGGCTCCAGCCTCTCCGAAAGCGCAAGCGGGAGTCCTGCTCCCAGTTCGCTGGCCCCGCGAACCCCGAGCAGCCTCAGACCCGGGCCGAGAAGTGTCGCCGAGAGGTAGCGAAGAAGCGGGTTCCATGCCTGGTGTCGGGCCCTCGTGTACGTTTCGTCCGGGGGGGTCCCCGAAGGCGACATGAATCTTGTGCTGGAAAAACAGCCAACGCCTCTCCGGGTGTGGACCGGCCTGGTTGCAGAGCCGCAGGGCTGACGGCTTCGTTTGCGCTCGGCTGACCGTCTCGGGGGGATCAATGCCCCAGCACAGGCCCTGCTCGCGGTGTTGCGGGAGCACGTTATCCTTCTGAGTCCTCGTGGGGCTTTCTTCAAGGGCACTTATACAGGGAGCACCTTAACTTCGGCCAGCACAGGAGGAGGACGCACTGATCCCATACACCTACTTCTGGCCCCAAACACCGCACACTTGTCTGTGGGTCGCCCGTGAAACCGAGGCTGCGTGTCTGAGCTGGACTCTGTAGCCGTCCAGGGCTGCGGAGGTGAAGTCATAGGGGGCGAAAATGAGGCTTCGAGGCAGAGGAACAGTTGTGCCTCTGCTGCTCCCTGTCCCCGGCGCCACCCACAGAGCAGACACGCCACCTGGACCGGATGTGGCACGGCCCAGAAGGGGGCCTGGGGTCTGACGCTGGAGTCCGGACTTGGAAAACAGAGAGCCCAGGGCCGACCGCGTTGGGCGTGCAAGGATGTGGTTGTGTCCTCAGATTCCTCTGCATGGATCTCCTGGCGAAGTGACGTCAGCTTTGAAAATCAGGGGTGCAGGGGGAGGAGGCAGGAGGGAGGGAAAAGGAAGAGGGGAAGGAGGAGGTGTAGGAGGAGCAAAGTTAGGAGTGAGGGAGCCCGAATCTGAGGGGACGTGGGGGCTGCAAGGGTGTGGGGAGGAGGGGGGGTGGGAGGGAGGAAGACCCTGCCGCTCCCCTAGTCCCAGAGCTTGCCCAGCAGGAGTAAGACTGGCAACGGGATTCCAAGTTGGGAGGCCTGGGCTTAAATCCCAGTTACTATACCCGTCAGTTGTGAGGCGACAAAAGACACAGAACTGGTTGAACTTCCTGCCAGGTGCCTGTAATAGTGTCTCAGTGTCCACGTCTGTCTGCATCCATCCAGCCACCTAATCATCCCTCGGTCATCTGTTATCTATCATCTATCTGTCATGTCTCATCTGTCAATCATCTATCATCTGTCATGTCTCATCTGTCTATCCTCTATTGATCATCTGTCTGTCATCTCTCAATCATCCATCAGGGACTCTGGGTTGTATCTGTAGGAGTCACAATTTCTCCATGGTCAGTAAAAATGTCAGGGAAACATACATGACTCCACTTTGCAGGGCTGAGCAGAACCACCGCCTTTATGATATATCTTGTCCTGTAATACTTTGCGTGTGAACATTTTGTTTCCCCATAAGGACTGTGACTCTTGAGGTACAAATCGGGCTTTCTTTGCCTCATTTCTCTGACAGGCACCAGCGTGCATATGTGGCTTTTGGTTGAAGGGTCTTTTTTTTTTTTTTTTCAACGTTTATTTATTTTTGGGACAGAGAGAGACAGAGCATGAATGGGGGAGGGGCAGAGAGAGAGGGAGACACAGAATCGGAAACAGGCTCCAGGCTCTGAGCCATCAGCCCAGAGCCTGACGCGGGGCTCGAACTCACGGACCGCGAGATCGTGACCTGGCTGAAGCCGGACGCTTAACCGACTGCGCCACCCAGGCGCCCCTGAAGGGTCTTTTAAAATATATCTGAAGTTCATTTGCAGGAAAAGTATCTGCAAGCACCAAGCCCCAGAAGATCCCTCACCCCCACAAAGACTAGTTTTGAATGTCAGAAGATATTTTCCTTCACGGATAACAAAACCATTGCCATGTATTTTCACTTTGCCTAAGTAACCTAAACACCCTCATCCCCAATGCCAAGAAGGACACTTACCAGTTGCTGTTTCGATAAAAGCGGGACAAGTAGATAACTACATATATGACGAGGACCTCGTGCTGCACTGTGCGACAAGAACGCAGGCTCCGCCTCCTGTCACGGTCCGCGATGACTCAGCTCTCTCCACAGTTCCAGTTAATGACCCGCTAATAAAATGGCTGCAATCTTGCCTGAGAAATATGTTGCCAGCCGATTCATGTTTTTAAACCTACAAAGATAAATGTCATGCTGTACTAATGGAAAGAGAGATTACTCATATTTATGAGATTTTTTTTTCCAGGAAAAAAGCTTTTCAAAATGCTTTCAAGAACCATATTGAATTCACTATATTTTTTCGTAAGTAGAAATCATGGCCCAAAGTAGACATCCACTGATTGCATCGCATATTTTCCATGAAATACTGCTGGTTTCACAGGACAAGAGAAGGTCCAGAGCCTGTTTTGAAATATGCATCCTCCATAGTCAGAGATAAATCGAAAGGTTAATCATACTGGTTTTTCATGAAGAATTGTTACAATAATGTTCTGGGTGGTTTCAGGGAAAATAATACCACGATTGTTGAAATCTATGCACTTCAGCATTGTATGAGTGTTTCTTAGAACAAGTTAAAACAAACTAAGCTCTAAGAGAAAAACTGAGGAATTTTATGCCCAAACTCCTGAAAGCCATACTCCCATGGCATACTTCAGTGACAGGGAGGACTTCTTTTTTTTTTTTTTTTAACGTTTTATTTATTTTTGAGACAGAGAGAGACAGAGCATGAACGGGGGAGGGGCAGAGAGAGAGGGAGACACAGAATCGGAAGCAGGCTCCAGGCTCTGAGCCGTCAGCCCAGAGCCCGACGCGGGGCTCGAACTCACGGACCGCGAGATCGTGACTTGAGCTGAAGTCGGCCGCTTAACCGACAGAGCCACCCAGGCGCCCCTTTGTGAGGACTTCTAATGTTTTGTGAAAATACTAACAGAATAAATGTTCACCGTATTTTCATTATAAGTTGTAAAAGACATTTTTACCAAATCATTATATTCCTTACAAAATTAAAAAAAAAGCCCTCTCATCTTTAGGTTTAACAGAAAGCCACTTGGCAGTGTCTACTGAGTAATCCTTTATTTCTTTCACATTTTCCCTTGTGCAAAGATGCCGTAGAATCCTGTTATGGGACAACTTGGAAGGTATTTTCAGATGACCGAATATTTCATGTTTCTCCAGAGGAGGTAGAACAGTGTTATTACCCCCCGTCCAGACAACACTTTGAAAGGCTTACTACCCTGCAAACAAGGACGGCAGAAGAGGACGTCACCCAGCAGGGGTTTTCAGGAACACGGGACAGGCCATCGACACAGAGCAAGCCAGCGAGCTAATGGAGAAGGGGTGCAAGCAGATTAGAATTTCATCAAGAAATACGATCCTTGCAGTTAGTGAGCTCTTGCCCTGTGCTAGAGCTCCGTCCACGGCAGCTCCTGTGTTAGGTACCTGAGTGTGAATATACCCAAACCGTGCTGCACGCACGAGGGGTGGGGGGGCGGCAGAAAGCTTGTGGTCAGCCGGGTGGGTGGTGCTACAGCGTCGGGAAGATGACGTCAGCGGTCAGCGGGTGGGTGGTGCCGTGGCCTCAGGAAGGTGACCTCAGCGGTCAGCGGGTAGGCAGCGCTACAGGGTCGGGAAGGTGACTTCAGCTGCCAGCGGGTGGGCAGCGCCGTGGCCTCGGGAAGGTAACGTCATTGGTCAGCGGGTGGGTGGCGCCCTGGCCCCGGGAAGGGGACGTCAGCGGTCAGCGGGGAGGCGATGCTACAGCGTCGGGAAGGTGACGTCAGCGGTCAGCCGGATGGGTGGGCGGTGCTACAGCACTGGGGAGGGGACGTCAGTGGTCAGCGGGTAGACGGCACTGCAGCGTCGGGAAGGTGACGTCTGCGGTCAGCGGGTGGGCGGTGCCACGGCATCAGGAAGTGACGTCAGCTGCTGGAAGGGCAAGCCCGCCCCGCGTGGTGGCCTCCGGCCGCAGAAGCCGCGTCACCCTCTGTGCGTCGCATGGCTGGCCTGCTGGGTGGCCTGGCTACTCCGTGCACGGGGAGAGGTGACATGGATTTGCTGACTCGGTGGCCTCACCGCCGCCCACCAGAAGCGCACCAGGGTCCCTTTCTCCCTCTCCCCACAAAGGGAAACCTGGTCTGCTCTTGTCTAAGGCAGACGCCCTCAGCCCAGCTGCGGCACCCCGCCCATCCCGGGGTCATGCGCCACCACGTGCCACCGGTCAGCGGCCCGGGATGAGGCCCCCTGCTCGCCGGCCTCTGACTCCAAAAGCAAGTTTCTGCCCCTTGGCAGGCAGAGGAAGGGCTGGGTAAGTGATAAAAAACTCCCAGAACACAGAACAGGCACAGAGGTCCTGCGGGGCGGGGGCGGGGAGGCGCTGCCGGCACCGCGGACACGCACGTTCACACTGGGCCCCGACCGGGCCACGGAGACCTAAGCAGCGAGGAAGGACCCCCAACGCTTACCCTGCCCAGAGCCTCAGCGGATGACCATCGGACGCCGTCCGGCGTCCTGGCAAGAAAGCGTTTTTGGGGGGGGGGGGTGTTGGGGGGCGAGCCAGGCAAGTTCCACACTAAGTCTCGACAGCAGACCCAGAGCTCCTCTTCTGTTTTCACGTGAAATTCACCGGGAAGAAGAGTTCTGCCTCCGCTTGGCCACACTGGGTGCGAGAGGGCAGAGCCGCAGTGATTTCTGCGGTGAAACCCCTCCCTTCTGCAGCCTCGCGGCCCCCCGGGCTCCTGTCCTCGTGCAGGGTAGACACGCGTCGGTCACACACTGACTACGCCATCCGCGTCCGTGGATGACAAGACTTCATTCTTGAGCCCGTGGTAGCGTCTGAGGGGGACGTCGCCTTACCAAAACTCAACTTTGATGATTACCGTCTTACTTTTTCCTAAAGTTTTCTTGATCCAACATCCTACCCTGAGGATTTGCTCCCACAGCCACCGCAGGGGCCCAGAGTGACATCATTCCTTCTCTCTGTCTGGGGCCCGCCCTCTGCTGCCTGACTTCTGGCACCCGAGGACACCGATTTCAAATATTCCGTCCCATTTTCCGGATGTTTAGGTCCCAAGATGAAGCTTGGCCCAGTCCCTCCATGTAGCTGGTAGCAGAGGTCTGTGTCTGCTACTTTTCAAATGAGAAAAAAAGCCCTGATGTTTTAGTTTCTTTTCGTAAAGACGTTTTTAGACAAATCTTTTAAATAGAATGAATAAACCAACGAACAATCTGGTCTTTCCATTTATAAAAATGCATACATTATAGATCCTAAGATTTTCATTTGTCACCTGTTTTACTCTAAACACAGATGGTTCTTGGAGACAAAGCCACATGCCTGCCCGAATGGAATGCCCCATCCTGGCGTGTTCATCAGGAATGAAAGGTAGTAAGTTTTTCTCTATTTTTTTTCAGGAAGGGGAGGGAGAAACAATAATGCAGGTGATTTCTTATCTAAGTTTTAAGGAAACCTACAGCACAGCCTTGGCCTCAATAAAATCTGTGTGCACACGTGTGCATGTATGTACACACGTGTGTGCACAGGTGTGAGCGTACATACGTGTGCTTTGTGGGCACGTGTGTGCATGTGCATGCGTATGCACGTGTATGTGTGCTGAATGCACGTATATGCCTGCACGTGCGTGCACGTGCGTGCGCATGTGTGTGCGTGGGGTGTTGGGTGGGTTTTCATTTGTTTGCTGCGTTTTTCTCCACTATCAAAGTTTGTCGTTGAAACGTGTTACGGTCTGAATGTTCGCATCCCCCAAATCCGTATGTTGAAATCCTAGTGCCCTGGGTGCTGGTGGTTGGAGGTGGGGCCATGGGATCAGGTCAGGAGGCTCCACCCTCCCGGGGGCCTTCTCACTGCCCCTCCCATGCAGACATGGTGAAGACTCTGGGGAAGGATCCTCACCCAGCAGGGGTGTTCCAACCCGGGCCCCCCAGCCTCCAGCACTGAGACGTGAATGTCTAGTCTGTATCCGACCGGGGGTGTGGTAGTTTGTCTTGCACCTGAGTGGGCTAAGACAAAACACAGTGTGTGGTTGCAGCCTTAAAACTCCAGATATTTCTACTAGGAGGATTGAAGTTTCTAAAAACAGCACATGTATAACAGGGGGCAGCTCCCTGTTGTGTTTTTCTCTCATCACATAAATTTCTCAGGCTGCCTTCCAGAACTCCCTGCAGCCAGTGGGTAACTCGTGTCATACAGCGTTGGGTGTGTGCAGGATGTCAGGGTTCCTCCGAGCCTTCAGTGTATATTGTCCTCACTGGATTCAGTGCAGCAACAGACTGCCCATCTGCCGTTTGTAATGACTTCTTTCACTGGCTCATGACCTTAAAGGTCAAGAAGAGAAGACGACACAGTTATTGATGTGTGTGTAATATATAGTTTATGCTCTAAATGAGGTGTGTAGGCTACATATGTGAATAGAGGTGTGGGAAAATAAATGTTCTATTTTGACTTGGATTTTCTTAAGAAAGAAAATTCAGTCTTAAAAATATTTTTACAATGGATCCTAGAAATATTTGTTGCATAAGTAACAAATTTGTATCTAAATATGGTTTCATTGGAAAAACAATGTGAAATATTTTTGGCTTACATTTTCGCTTAAGGTTTTAATAAGAACACGTACTATCATTATCACTTCAAAAGTTTTATGTGAAGATTCTGAAGATGACAGGTGGATTTCAGAGGAAGGTATTTTTAGACAAGTGAACAAAGTTCAGCTGAAAATGTAATGCAGAAACAGAATTATTAGAGTCATTCTGCAGTTAATTCAAGTGTGTTTTAGAAGCACTTTGTCACATTAAACACAGCCTTTGGAGTCGTGTTTGAGTCTGTTGGAAGTTGTTCCTTTAGGTGTTCCGAGCGCCAATGTCACAGGCACCTTGAACGATGCGCTCTGTGCACTGGAGTCACTCCTCCTGCTCTGTCACGAAAGCCAGCACTGCACGCCTGCTTTAAGAAGCACACCGTTGCTTTCCGTTTCGCCTCTCACTGGAATTCTTGGGTCACCTCGCCCCAAACCTCCAGCCTCGGCTGACGAGTAGATGTTTTCCTGCTCATCCTGTCCAGCGTGTGGGACCCCAGGTTCCCAGTCCCGCGGTGGGCACTGAGGTTACGGGGTTAAGACATTATGGCCCAAGATCTCCAGGTGTGTGCTCACGTGCCACGATGGGACAGGTGTGTGAGGAGCTGAGTCCTGAGCACATCGGCCTGGGAGGGGGTGTGGTGAACACTCATGGCTGGTCCTTCTCTCCTTGTGGGTGCGGGAAGGACAGCACCTCAGTCTGTCCGGGGAGTGACAGACTAGAATTTCTGAATATTTACCTTGGCCAGACGGTAAGTTTTACGTGGGTGGGAAAGTGCTTATTGTTCCCAACCGCCGTGTACCTGGCACCAGTCCCCGCGCCCACAGTGGGCACTGAAGGTGTTGTGGCGTTTGCTCTACTGATGGGCATTTGTGTGGACTCCAGTGTTTCTCCATCACAAACGGTGTGGCGTCCTGCCTCAGTAGTGTCTGCGTGTGGCGATCTCTGCGGGGATCGCACACGTGGGTTCGTGGAGTCAGCGCCTCTGCAAGGTTCTTCCCACACGTTGGCCAAACCACGTTGACCCATTTGTGCATCTGCCTCGGCGTACAAAAGCGCCCATTTGTGCACATCTTTACACTTGTTCGTGGGGCAAATCCTAGGCCCGTGAAATAACATCACATGGTTCTTTTGAGTTCTGTTTTATGCAAAATGTTAGCGAGGCTGACCGCCTTTCCAGAGGATTAACTGTGCATTTCCTTATTACAAATTACCGTGTTCTGTGCATTGTCCATGTTTGGATTAGTCGACTCTTTCTTGTTGCTATTATTATGAGCTGAACTTTGTCCCCGTGAAGATCACATGTAGAAGTGGGCCCCCCAGTACCTCAGAATGGAGACAGGGTCTTCAAAGAGGCAAGTGAGTTAAATCAGGCTGTTTGGGGGCCCAGTCAACATGACTGGGGTCACTATAAGGAAAGGAGACCGGGGCACAGACAGACATGTCTCCATGTGAATGAAGACAGTCGTCCACAAGCCAAAGAAGGAGGCCTCAGAAGGCACCAGTCCTACCTGGATCTTGGAGTTTCAGCCTCCAAACTGTGAGAAAATAAATTCTGTTTTTTATGCCCCTGGTCTGTGGTGCTTTGTTGTAAGACCCCTGCCCGGCCGACGAACATGCTGTGCAGTGGGGTTTCAGCACAAGCTGGTGATACTTTGATGTATGTTGTAAGTATTCTCTCTTAATGTCTACTTTGGTGGTATCTTCTTTTTTATGGAATTTATTTTTAAATAGCTCATTTTTTAAGGTATTTATTTTGAGAGAGGGGGGAGGGACAGAGAGAGAGAGAGAGAGAGAATCCCAAGCAGGCTCTGTGCTGTCAGCACAGAGCCCAACATGTGGCTTGAACCCACGACTGTGAGATCATGACCTGAGCCGAAATCAAGAGTCCGACGCTTAACTGACTGAGCCGCCAGGCCCCCCCTAAATAGCTCATTTTATCCCCTTGTTCTGTGTGACCACTCTGTCATACATCCATACACTATTGTTACATCTGTCTAGGTCATCTGTGTCCTTTTGCTGACCACCTGTTCCTTTTATTATCCATGACATATTGTGTAAGTTGATAGGCCACTTATAATTCCTGCTGTTTGTTGGGAATCTTCCGTCTGACTCTTGGTCTCCCGAAGCTTTGGCCTCCAGCCTCCATACCTCCATACAGATATTAAATTCAGTTGAAGTATTCTTTCAGCATCTTGTTGGAATTTTGATGGAAAACGCATCATATCATTAGATTAATTTAGGGACCATTGATATATGGACTGTGTTATGTCTTCTCATCTATACCCATTGTGTACATCCCCATATATTCAGGGTTTTTGTCTTTGAGAACTTTAAACTCTTTCTCTCTAAAGTTTTTGTACATCTTATATTAATATCATCATTTGATAACTATTTTAGTCTAGTATAAGTGGAATCTTTTTTCCATGAATATTCTTTTATTATTATTATTATTATTTTTTTTTAATGTTTGTTTATTTCTGAGACAGAGACAGAGCATGAGTGGGGGAGGGGCAGAGAGAGAGGGGGGACACAGAATCTGAAGCAGGCTCCGGTCTCCTAGCTGTCAGCACAGAGCCCGATGTAGGGCTCGAACTCACAGACTGCGAGATCATGACCTGAGCCGAAGTTGGACGCTCAACCAACTAAGCCACCCAGGCGCCCCTCCATGAATATTCTAATTGTTACTGTTGAAAATAAATACAATGGCTTTTTTAAAAGTTTATCTAGTTTGAAAGAGACAGAGACCGTATAAGTGGGGGAGGGGCAGAGGGAGAGGGAGGGAGAGAAAATCCCAAGCAGGCTCCTCCCTCTCAGCACAGAGCCCTACACGGGGCTCAAACTCATGACCATGAGATTATCACCTGAGCTGAAATCAAGAGTCTGATGCTTCCACGACTGAGCCACCCAGGCACCCCCTTCCTAACGAATGGGTAAGTATCCAGTACATACTCTCTAACGAATGTTTATGTATACAGTAAGTACTCACTGATGACTGCTTAGGTATCCAGTGGGTAGTCACTGCAGGCACACCATCGCACAGCACACCTCTAGAACTTCCGAATCTTGCAGAACTGAAGGTTCACGCCCTCCGAACCACATCTCCCCCGCCCTCCCCACTTCCTGGCGCCCACCATTCCGCTCCCTGCTTCTGTGGGTCTGAGGACTCCAGGGACCCATGTAAGTGTAATCACGCAAGATGTGTCCTCCTCGGCCCATTTCACCAGCATGACACCCTCCAGCTTCATCCGTGCTGTTGCCCATGGCAGGGTTCCTTCACCGTATAAGAGAAGTTACACCCGTGTGCGCACACACCATGTGCTCTTTATCCGTCCCCCCTTGGTGGACATTCTGTGGCTTCCGTGGTTTCAGTTCTTGTGGACAGGCATTGTCCAGGCATGGCCTTTTTAGGCTAAAGTAGCCTTGTATTGTCTTATGAATAGCTGCTCATGCTATTTGTTATAAACCTCCTTTCATTTTAAAATCTTTCTTTAAAAACTGGTTATAATGATGATAATCAAAAGTGATATCATTTGAAGGGTTTTAGTCTAACGGTACTTTCAGTCTTCAATATTGATTTTGCTTTCGGCTGTATGCCTCCTGCTCATCACTTGTTTTTACCCATTTTACTTCTGCAATTCCACTGTCGTCTCTTCAAGCCAGCTTTCTCTGTTGCTGTGTAATCCATGGTGTTGTCATTTTGTATTTTATCTGACCTCCGAAACACTGCCTTGTATTTAATGTTGTTGAGAATGCAGAAAGCACTGTTGGCTGGAATTCACTACTATCTCTACAGTACAAATCTGGGCATTTGGAAAATGATAAGTTGTAGCTCCCTGAAAGTCAAGCCATGTGAGTTTTTTCAAATTTAAATCCTGATAATGGTGTTTCATTCTGTGTGGTTGGGAGTTGGATAAATGCTCTATGAATTTACTTGCAGCCACAAACAATTCTTCCCTGACCTTCCTTCCTGTGTCACATTCTTCTTTTTTTTAATATGAAATTTATTGTCAAATTGGTTTCCATACAACACCCAGTGCTCATCCCAACAGGTGCCCTCTTCGGTACCCATGTTCTTTGTGCTAACTTCACCGTGACTAAGAACATGCTGATGGAGCAGTTAAATTACTTTTGTTTTCATTTATTCCCTGTAATTGTGGCTAACATTTTTGAGTGATCGCTTTGTGCTAGACAAGACTCTGAGCGTTTTGTACCTTGATGAGGAGATGTGAGAGCAAACCCAGAAAGACCAGGTGCTTTGCCCAAACCAACTCAGTAACTTCAAGAGGTGGGATTGAACCCAGGCAATTAGAGCAAAGCCCACAAGTTAGCCAATACATCTTAAGATTCCTTTGCTTATAAGATGTGGCTAGAAAATTAGAAATAAAGAGAATGCGAGGATAACTAATCATGGCAAAAATGGAAATAAAAACGAGTGATAATAACATTATCACTTAGAAGTATTTTTGGAAGTGCTGCTTTGATTTGGTAGAGAAGTGGAATGTCGATATTCAATGTGTAATGAGAACTCACTATTCAGCCCACACGGATGTACAACCGTCTCATTAATCTGCAGGCCTGTATGGCGTTAGAATTCTTTCAAATGAAAATGAAGTATTAACTGAGAATGAAAAGAAATCAGTGTCTTTCTCTGAAAGCAGGGACTGCTCAAACCTTTAAAAAATACGGTTTTGTATGTTTTCTGATACAAACTGCCATTTTCAGGAACTCGGTGCCGATGCAACCAACATTTGACCAAACAATCTCACAAATGACTATTCAGAGCTCACCGTGTGCTAAGCCTTTTATGTGGACTTTACCTCTGTTTTCAATGAAAAAGTCAAGGCTAAGAAAGTTCAAATCTAAATGCCAAGGTCACGCAGCCAGTGGATGATGATTCTCAAACCCAGCCTGAATCTCATGCTCACATCCTTGCACACCGCACAGCTTTTCACGGATTGTAAGTTCCAGAATTCGCTCCCGCTCTGCTTTCTAGAGCTGTCTGTGATGTGGCTGCTTTGGTGACCTGAGGTGATTCCTATGGGTTCCTGAGGCTGACCGCAGACCCTGAAGTGGGGCTCCCGGGCGCATCCAGTGTCTCCTGAAGGGACAGTGATGCTCGTGTGCTACCAGCATTGAGGGGGTGAGGTGCTCACACGCCCTGGGCATCGGTGGAACAGTACTTCCTGAGAGCGAGGCAGGAAGGACCGAGTGTCAGCCACTCCTCACTGTGGTGGGAAGCACACCGGCCGCAGAGTCGGAGAAGGGCCGGATCCAAAGCAGCCGCTGCCAGCAAAGCGGGCTCCGCGTGAGAGCCCCTGCCGTGCGTGTACCCGGAGCACGGTTGCACCCACTGTGCTGAGTGTGCCGTGTGGGGACCCACCTGGGCTGAGTGAGCCTCCGGGTCGTGGGAGCAGGAGTTTCTGTGTGTAACAGCTAGGGGTCAGCCGGGGCTGCAAGCTAGCCTCAAGGGAGGTGTCATGTTTTCAGTTAAAAGGTGTGTGTGTGGGGGGGGGGGGGGGGGGGGGGGGTGGGTGTAATAAACTCTTGGAAGCTGAGAACCGCCTTATGCTCTCGTATTCAGTACTTTGCCTTGTTGTTTTGTTGATCGTTTCCTTCTCTGTGCGGAAGATTTTTCTTTGGATGACATCCCAATAGTTTAATTTTGCTTTTGTTTCCCTTGCCTCAGGGGCCAGATCCAAAACACCCTATGATGTCACTCATAGGTGGAATTGAAGAAACAAGAGCAAATGAACAACATGATGGTTACCAGTGGGGAGGGGTTTGGGAGGTGGGGGGAATAAGGATGATGAGCCCCGAGTCACGTGTAGAACTGTTGGGTCAGCGTATTGTGCATCCAAAACCAATTCGACATTGCATGTTAGCTATGCTTGGATTAAAAATTTTTTTAAATGGTTGTTCATGTTTTGAGAGAGAGAGAGAGAGAGAGAGAGAGAGAGAGAGAGAGACAAAGCATGAGCAGGGGAGGGGCAGAGAGAGAGGGAGACACAGAATCCAATGCAGGCTCCAGGGTCTGAGCTGTCAGCACAGAGCCAGATGCGGGGCTCGAACCCATGAACTGTGAGGTCATGACCTGAACCGAAGTCAGATGCTTAACCAACCGAGCCCCCAGGTGCCTATACTGGAATTTTTAAAAACTTGAAGAAAAAAGAGTCACATCACGAAAGCAGAACAGTTCTCGTCTGAAACATTCAGCATGAACGCAGCTTCTAAAATCAAAGGCAAACCTCAGCTGTGGGTTTCCCGTAGGACCAGGCAGCGTGGTCCCATATCTTCCACTTTCTAATTAGCTGCAGAACACCCAAGTTCACCCATAGAAATAGTCTCCTAAAGTAGAGATATTTTTCTAATAAGTTGAGACACAAGATGTTAAAGCCACATTAAAATCTATAATTAATAAAGGTACCGTGAGCTGAATTTCAATAAAGGCATTGACTCCTCTTCTGAGTTATAAATTAGGAGGTCAAAAGCTTTTCATGAATTAAACTCCAAGAGAGGAAAGTGACATTGGGAGTACATATTTCAGAATCGTTTATGTCGCCTGAACATTGACCATTTCTATTTGCTACAGAAAAATTAGTGTGTCAGGTATGATTACTGAGGAAGCGGAAGCCAATGTCATTTCCTCCCGGCCAGCGGGGGCCGAGCGTCCCGCAAGCCGGGGGTCTGTTTCAGTCACGAAGTCTCTAATATACATCTCCTCAAACATTGCTTGTCCTTTAAACAGTGGGGTTGTTCTTTGAACTGAAAGAATTAGCATATAAAGGGCAAGTCTTCTGTTTAAAGGAACTTAATGCATTTCAGGTGACATCCCCTGGAAATGACCTTGGTTCCACGATGCCTTCAAATCAGGGTGTCTCTGCCAGGATGCGCTTTGCTCTTGAGATAAAGGCAAGGCGTTGCTCAGATGTGGAGGAAACCTTCGCGGCGATCCCGGCCTAAAGACTCATGAGTGTGTTTTTAATCAAGATCACAAGGAATGCTGTTACTGTTTTATTGTACTGATCTGCAGAACTCTAATAATCACCTAAATTAATTTTGTTAAACTTTTGATTCTCAGTTTTCCATTTATTTCAGTGTTTCAGAATGCTCTTTTGCCTTTCCGCACAAGGGGAGAGCACAGCCTTGACGGCTGTCGGGGCCTGTGGCTCTCCTCATCAGCATCAGTCCGTGTCGGCCCAGGCCCCGCGCACCTGCCCGTGACCTTGGGCACCTGGCTTCCTGCCCCCAGCCTTCATCATCAAGCAGATGTAAAATTCATGTCCACAAAGATGATGATGTTTTTGAGGTTTAAATGAGTGAATGATTGCTACAAATAAAGAGAACTAATAAAAATAGTAACAGGCAGATTCTAATCCTTTCCTGTGCCTTTGTCGTCAGGTCTTGGAGCCCAGGATATCAGGCAAGCTATGTTCATCTTCTGTGAACTCCACAGATTGGCCCCTGCACACATGCTTGGCTTTCCAGATGCGGGAGGATGAGGGTCGTGGGCCCTTGACGCTGGGGGGACCGGGCGCCGGGATGTGGTGGTGTTTGTTCTCTGCACTTCCCGTGTCTTGTCGGGTCGTTTGCTGTCTTACTTCAGAGATTCATTTTGCCCCATTCTCTCCTCCTGCTCCAACCGCACGCGTGTCCCTGGGTGTCTGGGCCTCTGTCCTCTTCATTCTTTTGCATCTGGAAAGTTCCTATTGACCTCCCGTCGGGCTCCCCGATTCTTTCCTGGGATGTGTCAAGTCAGCTCCTGAGGGCACCGAAGGTACTTCTTTTGTGTCACCGTGTTTTGAGCCCTGGTGTCCCTCCCTCTCCCCCCTGCCCCCGTGTGTATACACATGGCACTCATCTGCCTGATGATGACCCCTTGGCATTGCAGTCTGTCCCTTTTCCCCACTAGAGACCCTCACGCGTGCGTCACACTTGCACCCCGTGCCTCGCACGGTCACTCCGACTGTGTCCTCTGGCTCTGGTTCTCATGATCGCTGTGTGTCTTCGGAGTGTGGCTTCTCCTGCCCTTCGGCTCGCCTGATTCGTTCTTGTTGGACGTCACACGCGTGGAGCAGGGCCGTGGGCTCAGGGCGCTGTGCTGTGTGGCTGGAGCTCTGTCATCTCAGCCCCGGGGCCTGTGCTTTGCTCCCCACACTCTGCGTCCTGCCACCTCCGACTGACCCTCTGTCCCCGCGCTGAGGGGCTGGTCTGTAACCTTCTGACTGACCCTGCCTTCCCGTGGGCTGCGTGTTGGGGGGTGTTTCTGTGCCCCTCCAGGAGACCCCAGCCCCCATTCCCCCGTCATCCACAGCGTCCCCCTTCTATTCCTGTCCCCCATGGACATTTTACCCCTTTTACTTCTCCCCAGGGAGGGAGAGGTTTCTGTGTCTCCTCGGGTAAGCTCTGTCCCCTGGGATGCTGCAGACACGGTCTGGGGGGCCGCTCCATGTCCTGTCCCCCTGTCCCGACCCTTTTGGAGCCACAAGGCCACGAGAGCTTGGCCCAGTGCGGTGGCCCATCCGCATCACTGGTACTGTTCCTACCCCTCGTGGTTTCTGCGGCCGGTGAGTAGCCCTCAGCTGCTGCCCCCTCTGATCTCAGGGTGTGCTTGCCCCGTGGCCCTGGTTCTCTGACGGTTGACACTTGTCCCCCAGAACCGGGATGTGGGGGCTGCACTGATAGACTAGATGTGCAGAGTCCCCATTTTCACGGGGCCTGACAGCGGAGAACTAAGAAGGAAGAAAAGTCAGCGAGTGGCTCACGATGAGTTAAGGCTGTGATGGGACGTGCTGCCCGTGGGAAACGGTGGAAATTGCAGATCCCCAGGCAGCGTCTGCTGTAGGCAGGTTCTGGGGGAGGCTAAGCTGAGCCGTGAGGGACAGACAGACCTGGTGCAGCGAGGGGGCTGCAGGGGCAGAGAGGGAGCTGTTCTGCCGCACGGCCGCTGGCGGCCGGAGGCGGATTCTCGCGTAAAGTCCTCGCGCAGGGACTCGTCTGATGACCCTGTTATGGGCCGAATGGTGTCCTCTAACTTCGGTTTCTGAAGTCCCCAGCACCTCAGAATATGGCTGCGTTTGGAGATGGGGCCTTTAAAGAGGTGACTGAGGTTAAGCGAGGTCATCAGGCTGGACCCTGGTCCCATCTGACTGGTGTCCTCAGGGGAGACGTCTGGACACAGGCAAGGGGTCGGTCGCCAGGCAAGGGTGAGGGCGGTTGCCCACAAGCCAAGTGGAGAGGCTTCAGGGGAGACCAGACCCGCGGCCTCCAGAACCGGGAGAGCCGCTGGATGAGCCACCGGACGTGGACACGGTGGACGTGGCGCTTGGGAAGTCCCGTCGTCCGGCCAGGACTCCCGAGCCGGCTGGAGTGTGGCCTCTGGCATTGCCTGAGCCTCTGGTGCTGACCCTGGCTGGTTCAGGAGCCCGACGAGGGCACCGTCAACTGTGCGGAGACCCTCGCGCCCAGGTGTGTGGGGCGTGGACGGCAGGGAGTGGGGGGAGGCAGAGGCCCGAGCCCAGGAAGCCTCCCCCCCCGAGCCGCTGAGATTGGTCAGGAGGTGTGGATGGTCCTGCCCGCGCTCCTGCTGGCCCCTGAGTGTCGGGTTTGTGGGTCTTCATTTTACTGTGAAATGTGACTGTGTTTGGTAAAATGTACCCTTTATGCTGCTCTCAGAGTTATTTGCTTCCAGGAAGAGGCAGCAAGGTCCTGCAGCAGGACTGTATTGAAGGGGTCTGATAGGAGGCCTGGGAAGGTCACTCCTTCCGTCAGCCCGGTGGGCTTCCCTGGGGCCAGGTGAGCCCTAGGTGGGAGGGGTGCGGCGGGGGCACTCCAGGGGGCATCGGCGCGAAATCTTTTCAGACCAGCGGGTGTGACAACCACTCCTCAGTAGGAGAGTCCTATGTCCCCTCACCCTGGGTGAGGAGTGCACCGGTCTCAGGGGAATCCAAAATTCAGCAGAGATGAGTCCTTCCGACAGAAACCAGGCGTGAGGGTACCGCGCTCACAGGGGTGAGGTGTGACAGGCGCTGCACTCACATGGGTGAGGAGTGACGGGCGCCGCGCTCGCAGGGGTGAGGGGTGAAGGGCGCCCTGCTCCCAGCGGTGAGGGTGAAGGGTGCTGCGCTCACAGGGGTGAGCTGTGACAGGCTCTCTGCTCACAGGGGTGAGGAGTGACGTGAACTGTACTCGCAGGGGTGAGGGGTAATGGGCGCTGCACTCAGAGGGGTGAAGGGCACCACACTCACAGGGGAGGAGTGACGGACACTGCACTCGCAAGGGTGAGGCATGACGTGTGCTGCGCTCGCAGGGGTGAGGGATGAAGGGCGCTGCACTCTCGGGTGAGGCCTGACAGGCTCTCTGCTCACAGGGGCGAGGAGTGACGTGCACTGCATTCGCAGGGGTGAGGAGTGAAGGGTGCTGCACTCGCAGGGGTGAGGCGTGATGGGCTCTGTACTCACAGGGGTGAGTTGTGACAGGCACTGGGCTCACAGGGATGAGGGGTGACGGGTGCTGCACTCACATGGGTGAGGAGTGACGGGCGCCGCACTCGCAGGGGTGAGGGGTGAAGGGCCCTGCTCCCAGGGTTGAGGGTGAAGGGTGCTGCACTTGTAGGGGTGAGGAATGACGGGCTCTGTGCTTACAGGGGTGGGAGGCAAAGCGCTCCCCACTTGCAGGGGTGAGGGGTGAGGGGCGCCCCACTCTCTGGGGTGAGGGTGAAGGGTGCTGCACTTGTAGGGGTGAGGCGTGAGGGGCTCTGTGCTTGCAGGGGTGGGGGGAGAAGGGGTCCCCACTTGCAGGGTGAGGAGTGACAGGCACCACACTCGCAGGGGTGAGGGGTGATGGGCGCTGCGCTCGCAGGGGTGAGGAGTGAAGGGTTTGGGGTGACGGGTGCCCTGGCGTCCCTCCGGCTCCTGCCGTGGGACCCAGAACACTGTCTCTCGGAGGCGCCGGGCCACGCAGGGCTCCCCGGGACCGGGGCTCCCGCCTGCAGGCACCGTGGGGGGTGCTGAGTGCTCGGTTCCTCTGTCCCTGCAAAAGTGTACGAACTGTAACAGCTGGCACAGACTGTGGCTCGTGAACCCAAAACCATCACTGGGCTGGACGTGAAAACGTGTGAAGTTCACGCAGTGCCCCCGGCACCCCTGCAAGCCCCCCCCTGCGCCCTCTTGCTGCGTGGTCTCCAGAAGGCGGAGGGCGTCTCAGGTCCGGGTCACCGTGAGGGAACGCCGCGTGCTTCCTGCGGGATGACCGTGGGGTTCCACAAGGCGGCGTGTGCGCCCTCCGGACTCCGCGTGCTGTCGTTTCCTTCTCCGCGCGTTGCAATCTCACCCAAGCGTCTACACTCTGCTGCCCGCGGCCTGTCCTGGCACCTGCTCCCCCAGGTTTCCCTCTGCCTTGGAAGGCTGATCCCAGCCTCACCTTCGTTACGAGGAGTCGCAGTGTTTGCTGTCCCGCTGGGGGCGACTCAGCGCCTGAGCTACAGGACAGCGTTACCGCTGGGGACTCAGCTAGTGAAATCTCCCATTTTGCAGATGAGGAGCCTGAGGCTGGCGAAGGACAGGGACACCCAAGGTCACAGGGCTATAACACCTTGTGTGCACACGTGGGCTCGGCGGCCCTCTGTGCCTCACCTCTGCACCAGGGCTGAGCCCAGGGGGACACTGCTCGCCGGGTCAGCCTGAAATCTGCACAGCACGGGTTCCCCAGGGGTGTCGGGCTGGAGTCCCTGGGGAGACACATACCCCCACCTACGTCTGGGAGCTCGTGTCCTCAAGGGGCAATTCGCAGGGTGGAGACTGATCCACACACAGAGGAAATTCAAGTCAGTAAACACAGCCTGAAACCTCCTCACTGGATGGAGCTCCTCCAGAGGCATCTCAGAGACTAGCCGGTGACACCCGCCTTGGGACAGTCAGGCAGCCGTCACAGAGAGACCGGTGACACCCGCCTGGGGTGGTCCCTGGGTGGGGGACCTGGGGTGGGGCCAGCTTCACGGCCCTTCAGCTTTGCTGGGAGGGAGATGCCAGCATCCCAGCCTGAGTCAGCCGCAACTTTCCAAGGGCTGACCTGAAGGTGGCCGTATTTCAGTCATTGCCATGTTTTTGTCTCCGTGAGAAGCGGCCCGCCCCTCTGCCCAGGGTTGGGGGCAGGGGTGGGGCGTCTTTGCCAGTTTCAGGGCACAGTGTGTGCATCGGCCCCAGGTCAGGGAGGAGGGCGGGACTGGGCCAGGCTGGGCCGTGACCACTAGATGCTCAGCGGAAGTTGAAAAAAGCCACTCACTGTTGCTTGAGCTCCTACTGTATCCCAGGCCACGTATACAGTGGCCAGCAGCACAGATGCCTCTCTTGGGGAGCTGCGTGGTGAAT